TCACAATGCAATTTTTAAAAAAATTATTATTTAACTTCTCATATAGAAATACAACAGCTTCATGCATCAATAAAGTTAAGGCTGGGTTACATGATTGAAAGAAGAAAGGCAAAGACTGAGGAATAGTTTCTCAGGCACTCCATTTACTCCCTTGGGTTGGAATAAGGTCACCTAACAGAAACAAGGTCACCAAAACCCATGAGGCAGAAGGCAAGACCTGGCTCGCACCTCTTGTCTTCCATGCTCTCTGTCGGACAACAGAGGGATGGACTCAAGCTTCACAGAACTCCCTCTCAACACAACTCCCACTCAACAGGACCAATAATTTTCTCTTGCCAGCTATTAAACATCACAGGTTCCTACAATAACACGACTTCTTACAGAGGAGCTAAGGCCCAGATAGAGCTTAGCTGCAATTTTGAAAGCAATGACACAAAGAAAACGATTTACAGTAACATGGAAGTTGGAAAAGTTACATTTTTTTTTCAATAAAGGAGATTGGACCCAAGGCCTTTGCATTGAACTACAGCCTCGGCCCATTTTTATTTTTTTGAGACGACATCTCTTGCTGAAGCACTAAATTGATCAGGCTGTTCTTGAAGTTGCAATCCTCCTGGCTCAGCCTCCCACAGTGCTATGATTACAAGCATAAGCCCCTGTACCCATCTGATTAACTTACATGACAACTGAACCTAAGAATAACAATTAGGGGATTAACATAAACGCATTTACTTAAATCACTTTAGTAAAACAGTGTTGAAGTAAGCTGGACACAGTAACTTTACCTGCTTAGGACAAACTACCGGAGCCAAGTGAGCCTGAAAAGTGCTTCTTCGGTCTGTAATGGGAATGCCATGATCAACTGGAGGCAATTCTTCTATTTCTACAAATTTAAAGAATTAATTTATTTTTTTAAAACATCTTGCAGTCGACCTGGCAATGGGGAAGGAGGACTTGGAAATAAATGTAAATTAAATGGCAAATTTAAACTAAGATAGTTATTAATAGTAGACTATTTGCTTTATAAAAATACCTTTTATTTTATAAGAATACAGTTTATAATTTTCACCTGTCAAGGTCACTCAGTGAAAATGGAAGGGTTAGGGCTCAAATCCTTGACTATTATAGTAGTTTAAGCTGGTACACTCTCTAGTACAATATTTAATTTCTAAAAATGCAAGGGGTCCTGAGAACAAAGATTGACAGCTGTTAATATTCTACAACTTATATACTGATTCTGCTGTTGGTAGACTCTTGGTTGGGAAACCTGACTTTATACTGTATGATTATAATATAATACCTTATAATGAAACTAGTCCTACTACAGGTAATGGAATGCATCATTACTATGTCCAACTGATACTCCACTAAAAGCCTCATGATTTCCAGTTATTCTGCATCTTCCGCAAGGCTAAGAATCATCAAGTAGCCTTAGCCCTGATGAGAAATTTAACCACCCTGGCTTGTGCAACCTGTCTCCTTCAGCAAGCAAAGCTACACAAGACCAAAAGCCAGGTTTATGCAGAACGCTGGGCCCTCCTCTGATACTTCCCTCTTGTTAAGCTGGCTTTGAATATTGTACTAATACAGTAAGAGGTCAAACACGGCAGACGCGTCAAGGTGAACTGCAGACCTACTGTGCTATTTATTATAGTTGATTTGCACCCTTTTTCTTTAGTTGGTGGATCTTGTTTCCTGAAAGTCTATAAAATTGACAAATACATAAATGATTACAATATAGCTATTTGGGTTGAAGCACCAGGAGGCAGCCTACGTCTCCTCTCCAACCCTTCATCTCCCCATCAGCCCCTCTCGCTAGACCTGGGGCCCCACTAAAAAACCTTCCATTTCTCAGGACACTGTTTAAGAGCTACTGCAAAATGGGACAGGCGACTGCTCGCCTTCAGTAAAGGAATGTTCCCTCAGTTCTACGATGGCCTTGCAAGACACTTAGGGAAATGGATGATAACACAGAACACTTTAAAAAGCAGGGTATGAACTGAAAATATTAATAGCCTACCTTAGCTTCAGTTTTTATCATCATTAAATCAAATGTCTAGAAAGTAGTTTTTAAAAAAGTGAATTTCTGTTAACTCAGAATTCGGATAGGTCTGGGAAACATCCAAATGGACAAAAGGCAGAGAAAATAATAAATCCTAATTACCCGAAAACTAGTAACTACTTCCTAAGTTGGCTTACTAACTTTCTATGTCATCCCAAAGAATGGCACATACTACTACAGATTCACTCTCTCAAAAGAAACCAGTTAGTAACATTATACCTGGCTGATGCTCACTGAAGTCATAATCAAATGTTCTATATAGTTTTTCTGGGTCATATTCTAAAAAGAGATCATCTTCATAGTCATCGTCTTCCTCTTCAGTCTTCTTCTCTACAACCGGGCCTACGTGGATACGAGATATTATGGATGATTTATAAAACAAGTACGAAACTGCACTAAAAAATGAGTAAGTCTTAATCTCTAGACACTATTCTTCAACAGAAGAAACCAGAATTCTATTTCCTCACCACAGAATTCGAATGAAAAAAAGGCAGAAGACAGAGATCCCCATTAGGTAAACACTGCAGTAATAACATGTGGCGTGCTCACAAAATACTACTTTTTTGAAAATGATCACACGAAAAGCCACATCGTCATTAATGCCCTTCACAATACTCTCCCTCATCTCCAACACACTTAGCCCACTGTTCTGGTCACTTTTCCAAAGCTGTTCTGTCCGTAAGCACACTGCTGTGGCTCCCTTGGTGCCTCGAATTCATTCAAAGTATTTGCTTCTCGTGATCGTTTTAACTCTAAGGAAGATCCACTCAATAAGGTAGGTAAGGACACATCACAATGTTTCTATGGGCCTCGTTTTCTACTAGCTGGAACTTGGCAGCAGCATTCACCATGTTTTCTTTGTTGTTGTTATATATTTGGTTGTTACAGGGTCTCACTACGCCGCTCAGACTCATAGTGATCCTCCTGTTTTTCAGCCTCCCCAGTGCCACAATTACAGGCATGCGCCACTATGCCTGGACTCTGTGGCCAGCTCAGCATGCCTCGGGGCAGGGCAGGCACAGCATGTGATACCAGGGTTTAGCCACAGTCCCTGTACTGGCCTAAGCGTGCCTAAGCAGGCGCTTTGGTCTGCTGAGCTATCTCACCAGCCCTCACCATGTTTTTTATCATACCACATAAAACCATAAAAAGGAACTTGCAGAACTGCTTCAGGAAGTGGCAAGAATAATAGAGTAAGTGTGTTCAAAGTGAGAGGGAGGATTATGTGGGGTTTAACGGCAATGTGCCCTTTACTATACAAATTTTAAATTTAAATACATACCATATTTTTTGATCAGTCCTTGTTTTGTTGACCAGATCCATTTAAGGATACCAAAATTTCTATATTGGCCCAAGTTTAAAAGGGAACAGGAGATAAGCACAGCCGCAGAGTATATTCCTCAAGAGAGACAGTAATGTGGTAGTAATTTTACTGACTTGTCTGGGCCACAGTATCCAGACTGTACCCAATAATAGCCAAGGCATCCATATTAACTAGTGTTTTTAACTGGTTTAACACTAGCCTGGATGTTTCTGTGAAGGTATCGTTAGGTGAGATTAACATTTAAATGAAATGATTTGGGGCTGGTGAGATGGCTCAGTGGTCTAAAGCACCTACCTAGAATAAGCTGTAGCAAATCAGAGGGACCACGGTTCAATCCCCCAGCACCACATGCCAGCCAGCCCCGCCCCCTGGTGGACTGAACTGGCCACACACACACACATAAATAAATAAAAAATTTTAATAAAATAAAATAAATGAAATGATTTTAAATGAAACATTTTGGCCCTCACAATCTAAGAAATCATCTCATCTAATCAGTTCAAGACCTTAATTCTAGATTACCCTCCACAGAAGAAGAGGGCATTTTCTCAGTAGACAACCTTCGGGCTCAGAGTGCAGCATGAAGCCTCCGTGGGTATTCAGCCTGCTGGCCTTCCTTGTGGATTTTGGACTTGTAGCCCTCCACAACCATGGAAGTCAATTCTTACAGTAAATCCCTCCCTGTACACAGAAACACACAGCCCTATCGAGTCTGTTTCTCTGGGAAACCTTAACAGAGTAACTTCACAGTGGAGACTTCTGGCCCATGTTACCTTCACCAAGGGATCAAGGCAAACATCGCCAATAATATAGTGTAATGATACAATCTGGATAGGACACACTGTGAATAACACAATGACATTTCATGGTAGCCATGCTGAATAGCTAATGTCACTTCAACTATTAGGAAACACAAGGCAAAACTAAACTGAGGGCAGTCAACAGAATAAATTAGCAGTACTTTTCAAAGGAGGAGACACAGACAGAGACAGAGAGACAAAGATATTAAGGGTAATGTAGAATCCTAACCAGAGTCCTATAACCACAAAAAGGTTATTAGTGAGATAAGTGAATAAATTCCTTAGTTCACTTAAAAGTGTTGCACCTATATCAGTTCCCTGTCCTTTCTGGCTGTTTTGTTAGTGGCACCAGAGACTGAACCCAGGGCTGCTCCACCGCTGAGCCGCGGTCCCAGCCCCTTCGCTGTGAGGCCTGGTCTCCCTGAACTGCCCAGGCTGGTCCTCCCACCTGAACTTCCACAGTAGCTGGGCTTATGGGTGGGCGCCACCACGCTCAGCAGCATTTCCTGCTCTCGAGCTCTTTCTACTATTCCTGTATGCTTAAAACTTGTCTAAATGTGGCATGTACACAAAACAGAGCACTGCCCAGCCATAAAGGAGGCTGCATTTGAGTCGTCTGTAGGAAGGTGGACACGCTCCGAGATCAAAACAGCAGAAGAAGTAAAGCAGACATGGAAAGCTATCACCACCTAGTCTCTCTTGTATGAGAAACCCAAGGTATATTTAATGAGCAAGCGAAAAGGGGAGCCACAGGAAACAGGGAGGCAGGCCTTGCAGAAAGGGGACAAGGGGAGGGAAGGGGGCCGAAAAGGATTACAGTGTTGTCTATACCAGCTCCCCGCAATGTATGCATCCAGTGTGTATCGCAAACATGTAACACAAAAAAAATAAAATAAAATTACTTCCCATTAAAAATGAAAATAGTTTGCATAATTCAAAAATCAAAATTTCTATTCTAGAAAAACAATCAAAAAACTTAGAAGTTTAACAATAAAACAGGAGCTGGCGAGATGGCTCAGTGGTCTAATGCACCTACTTGGAACAAGCTTGGCAAAGCACAGGGACCACGGTTCGATCCCCCAGCACCACATGCCTGCCAGCCCCACCCCCTGGTGGGCTGAGCTGCCCCCCACAATAAATAAATAAATAAATGTTAAAAAAATAAATAAAAATAAAGATTTAAAATTAAAAAAAACAAAACAATAAAACAAAAATGAAATTACTTGACAAGTAGATGCCCTAGAAAGGAAAGTTCTCTTGACAGACCCTGATCCTAGCTCTTACCCTCATTAGTTCTCCATAATTATTAATTAATCCTTGCCTTTTAATATAAAATCTGCAAAAACAATTTTTTAAAAAATCCAAACAAATTTTCTAAAAGTCAAAACGTTGAAGTATATAACAGAAATTAATAACTCTGAAATGCAAAGAGTAGCTATAGTATGTATAATTATAGGCAGGAAAAGGAAAATGTCAGTTTTCATATCAATTTTTAAAATCTATAAGAGTTGAACTGACTAAACTTCTCAGAATCCTAAATTATTACAGACATACATTCCATTTCTGCAATTGTTCCAACTGAGAAAGGCAAGTACTATATTTTGAGAATTCTGAGAGCACTTTCCTCACGGACGCCTTGAAATACAGCAAAATCAGAATATGGACCACAGAATGTTAACAAAAATGTTTCAAAAATGTCTAGAATAAGCACTTAGCTCAGTTGTTTAACGCCTGCTCAGGCAGAGGCAGTCAGGAGCAGGATACCGCAGTTCAAGCCCGAGCTCCGCCTGCCCTTCAGGCAGCCAGAGCCACAAAAAAAAAAAAAAAAATCTAGAATATTGTTATGCCACGTATCAGCATAGAAGCAATACAAACATTTGTTTCTATAGCAACATAAAAAAATGCTCTGGAAAATAATATATACTACTATCAACTGTAAATGGTTACAGATTTCGATAAGAGAGTTCTAAATAATTGGTTCCCTGTAAAGAATCTTTTATTTATTTATTTTATCTTTTTGCAGAACCGGGGATTGAACTCAGGTCCTTGCGCTTGCCAGGGAAGAGCCATGTCCCCGGCCCCAAGAACCTTTGAAGACATTTGTAACTACTGAGGTTCTTTTTTAATCTCTCTTTCACCTCACACTGAAAATAATTCTATCAGTGGTAACAAAATGCTCCTCAGAAATCTTACCAGGTTAAATGGAGCTGCTTTTCTTTTTACAAGGCCTTTGTGTAAGTAGAACAAAAATTAGCGAAATGAGGTAGTAGAAGGCTTCCATACTGTCCCTCACTTAGCGACTCGATAAAAGTTTAATAATAGAGGAACACATCAATTTTCAAATTTTCTGCTAGTAATGATGGCTGAACAACTTTGGAAATACACTGAAAGCCACTTCAAAATATACTTCAAAAGGGTGAACAATCACAGCATGTCAATTATTGATCTCAGAAAAACACTTCCAAGTTTAGTTTAGTATCTTCACATTGGTCAAATTGTTTTTCTGTATATGCTAAATTCACTTAAAGCTAAAACCTAATTGATACACATTATTTGTAGCCTCTTGAGGCATGTTACAAAGTTCATATTAACAGATAGGTATATTTTGGACTCAAGTTCATTCATCATAAAATGATATAAAAGTATAAAATCAAACCAGAGACTAAGCCTCATAGAAAGAAATTACCATAATTACATATGTAAATGAACTTTTGAGAGAAACTTCAAAACCAGGACAAATTTTTATAAGAAAAATAAAATGAGTTAGAATATCTACATGAAAATGCAACCATTACAAGTTCAAAGAACAATGATAGACTTCTTCAAACCTACCAGGTTCTTCCAGCTGAGATTTTCGTATTAGAACATCTCTTATTTTCTCCACCCACAGGTAAAGAATACTTTCACCAATATTGTCTCTAAACAAAATTCAGGGGAAAAAATTTAATTTCAAAAAATGTCCTTTTCAATTTCAAGAAAATAGGGACAGTTATAGTTCAAAGCATTATGAAAAAACTAATCATAACTTTTCCAAAAATTTGATTAAAAGATAAGGTTTACCAATATTCATATGTATTTAATGTAAATCAGTTATATCAACATTTAAAATTCCAATTTGCCCCCAAAATTAACTTAGCATATTTTCCACAACAGTTGCGACCACAGAAGAAAGATTTCTGAACTTGAGCTGGATGTACTACACAGAAGTAAACACGACTGCGCTTCTATCAGAGGACAGAACTTCACTTTTGGGTTTTGTTGTTGTTGTTGTTTTGTTTTGGTGGGGGGGATGGTGTTGAGACAGGGTCTTGCTGTGTCATTCAGGCTGGCCTCCAACTCCTGGGCATCCTCTTGCCTCAGCCTTAGCAGTGCTGTCATTACAGACATGCGCCACCACGCCCACTGATTCTCAGCACTGATGTCCAAACACTGCTTGCTTTTCTAAACTTTAATTTGTGTGTGTGTGTGTGTGTGTGTGTGTGGCCAGCTCAGCCCACCAGGGGGCGGGGCTGGCTGACATGTGGTGCTGGGGGATTGAACCGTGGTCCCTGTGCTTTGCCAAGCTTGTTCCAAGTAGGTACTTTAGACCACTGAGCCATCTCACCAGCCCACTTTTCTGAACTTTTTAAACAACTTCAAATCATTTATCTGGTATACATGTCACTTAGTACACTTTTTTTTTTTTAGTAGACTTTTTTCAACAAAAAATATGCAAAATTCAGGGAACTCCTTCAGGGAGTCAATTTGTAAGACCTAAAAGAAAAATCAATTCAATAAATTAATATTCATACCTTGTTTTGGACAAAATATTTTATTATCTATTTGATTCTAAACAACGTTTAGCTGACTCAACTTCAAAAGACCACTGAGAAAAAGAATGTGTCGTGGGTCTGATAGTCAAGTCCGTGGTTATGTAATAGCAACAGCAATAAACTAAAAGGCCAAACATCTACTCTTCTAGTAATGACACCAATTTTAGGTTAGTAGCTTTGGTATGTGTTTCAAATGTCACCGCACTACTCTGTAGCAACACTTGCCCTCTTTCCTTCACAGTTCCCCTGGAAACCATTCTCTTTGCCACCACTCATCAGCAAAGAAAACTTGCAAAACAAGCACAAAGAAAACCTTTATTTTCTAACAATTTGATGCCCTCAAACCCTACCTCATACATGGATACCTGCTAACATTAATATCAACCTCTATGCATCTTTTTTATAACCTCTTTTTTTTTTTCAGAACCAGGGATCAAACTCAGGCCCTTGTGCTTGCCAGGGAAGCACTTATTCCACTGAGCCATCTTATAACCTCTTTTTAGAGAGAATGAAAGTCAACTGAAGAGGTTTTTTCCAATTGAGAATGTTGGCAAATGTCCTTTAAAAAATTCTCACCCCATCCCCATCTTCTCCATGAGCTGGCCTAGGACAACATTAGGTAAAATATATTGAGTACACACAAAACCCCAAACCCACCTATATATATACTGATACACAGAAGGAAAAGAACTTACAGGGATCAATTAACTTGTTCCAAGATGGCCCTACAAGCAGTAAAAAGCCCACAGCTAGAGTAAGAACCAGGATGAGGCGGTTCGAAACTCAAGTCAGCTATTTTTCACTCTGCCACCAAGTAGCTATGTATGACCTTACTCTGCCACTTGAACTCTCAGAGTTGGTTTCCCGACCTACAAGATGAAAGGTTTAAAGTAATTTGCCTTTAAATGTCTACAATTCCTGCTTAGAAGAAATAAAAAAATTTACAAGCTTTCCTGTTTGAAAAAGTGAAAAACTTACATGACTGCTTTTCAAGTGAATCTATCTCAATCCATTCCACAAATCTTCTAATGGCCTCTTGTATATCACCCACTTTGCACTGCCCTGGGGGGATGCTAGTGACCCACACAATGGGTCCCCTTCCTCAGTGTGTGTAACCGCTATGCTAACAGAAAATAGTTTCGCAGACAGTTCTTTGTTCTGATCTTATCCTACTGCATTCTTCACATCATCCTTCATAATGATACTAATGTGATACTAATTTCTCTACTTACTACACGCTCTACCCATGACACATAAAATATGCTTTGGGAATATAACCTCAGTTAATCCTTACAACCACAGTTTAAGACAGGAAAATCACCCCTCAGTAAATTCACATTAACACTTTAAAGAAAGAAAAAAGAAAACACCTAGAAGAATTTTTACAACTAACAAGTAATTTCCCACAATAATAAAGACGAAGTCACTTCAGATTGCGTCCCTCCTGACCCATGGCTCCCTGCACAGCCATACACAACAACACCGGTCAGCATCACGTATTGACTACTTCCTTCTTCACCAGCATTTAATGAGACTGTTACTGAAAATTCAACAAAAAGAGCTAAAAGTGCTTATAAAAAGTTGCCTGGGTAAAATGAAAATCTTTTCTTTAAGCCCTAAAAGTCTACCACTAAGTCAGGCTTGGGATACACACCTATAACCCCAGCTAACTTGGAAAGCTGGTGCAGAAGACAGAAGGTTATCAGCTTGAAGCCAGCCTAGGCAACCAGCAAAGCCATCTGAAAATTTAAAAATAGAAAGGGCTGGGAATGCAGCAGTCCCTGGTTCAATTCCTAGAAATGACAAGGCGAGGGACCTTCTTTTTTTTTTTTTTTAGTTTATTTTTACTGTTACTACTACATCTGTGTTTTCTCTGAAGACAATAATTTGTTCCTATTTTTTAACTATCCACTAGAATTGAGAGTGATTCTTACCTGAACAACAAGGTTTTAAACTCTGGTCACTTTAATGAATTCTTATACAGAAACAGACTCCAAAGTGACCCAACTTGGGAGTCCAATCTCCTGAACCTTTCTTCTCCTCAAATGGTCCTGGAAGAAGGATCTCAAATACTACAACCTCTCGTACAAAACTTGAGAACTACTCATTACAGACTGAGATGCTAGGTTTTTATTTATAAATTCAAATTATAAATTTTGTAGATTCAAATTATGATAAAAGAACTAAATACACTATGGGACAAAATCTGTTTCAACTTGAGTATTTTATTCGATCTAGTCTGTGAGTAACTTAAATAGCAATCCAATGTAGAAAAACAAAAAAAAAAAGTCAAACTACTTCTGACTCTGTTTCTACCTATGGTTCTAACTTTTGTAGCTTTCATTTTCCAGCATTAACTTTTTTTTTGTAACAGGATCAAACTCAGGACCTTGCGCTTGCCACTGGTCTATATCTCTGGCCCTTTTTTTGTTGACTTAACAACAATAAAAAGATTCATGGATGGTAGCCTTGTAAGCTCTATAACCTTAAACTCATCACTTGATCCCAATTTCAGGCCTCATTTTCTCAAAAGGATGCAACTGAATGATACAATCCCCGCAGTCCTAACAACAAAAACAGCTAACTGCTTGCTATCATGTATATCTTGAATGACTGCCTACCCACTCAAAAAGAAAGAGAAAGCCCCTTTGTCAAGGGCTTGGCTCCCAGGTAGTATTATCAGGAGGTCATAGAACCCTGAAGAGTGAGTACTTGCGCAGGTCTTCAGGTCACTGTGGACATGTGCAGAGAAGCTGTGGACCCAAGGTCCTACCACCTCCCCTCCCCTCCCCCCTCCTCCCCCTGTCCTTCCCCCTCACTCTGTAACTCACCCTCTGAGTCTTACTTCTCTGTCCTGTGCTCCTGCCATGAGGAACTGCCTGAGAAAGGGGACCAACTCATCACGCTAGAACCTCCACAACTGGAGACAGGAGCCCTACAATTTGTCATAGTAAAAGAGCACTAACATTGATTTGCTAAACTCTGAAGACGTCAACTGCTTCATGCCTACACGGTTTTGCTCACACAGGTCTCTCTACCAGCAAAGTCCTCTGTCGATTTCCTGGAAAACTGCGTGCTAAATCATCTTCCCAGTGGAATCCACACTGACAGTCTTCTTCACACGTTCAGAGACAGCTTGCTGCTAAAACTTCAAAGAATGCTACCACAACACCTGGACAGAACTGCTGGGTAACCATCTCACTACACTGCGTTGGTACACACTCATCTTAATTTGTGTGTGCGCATGTATGGTGCTGGGGATCAAACCCAGGGCCTCACATGTGCTAGGGAGGCACTCTTACCAATGGGCTACACACCAAGCCCTTTCATCTCTATCAGTAAACCCCAAATTCCTACCAGGGTGTTAGTACACAGGAGATGCTCAATAAACATTTACTGGAAAAAAACTATTTTCTTTCTTACCTTCCTACATAAGTTGCAACTAACCACAGATTATCTTCTTATCTAGGTAAAAATAAAATGTAGCACTCAAAATGATGCTAAATGTACAGTGCTATATTTAGAATCATACAAAGTATAAACATTAATAACTGTTCACTCATTCATTATGATTAACTTTTGAAGTTCAAAATTTTTTTACATACTGCCCCCTGCTGGAAGTACAAACATGATTAAAATGTGTTATGAAAACCTGTTGAAGATATACCATAAAAACACGTATTTCTATTTAGGCAAGAGTTTAAAAACATTTCCATTAGACTATGGTTACGCAAGCACTTTTAAGCAAACAATGTGACCCATATTTCATCTTTAAAACAAACTGCTTTGTGAATTTTGAACATTCCCCAAATTAAACTAGTTAGAGGAGGTAGGCAAGTTGTATCCTATGGAATGCTACCTCTTAGTAAAAAGAAGAACTTTGGAGACAGGAAAAGGGTGCATGGGTAGCCAGTGTAGACGGATGACATTGTGCATGAGCAGGAAAAAAAATCTGAAGAATGTGACTAATGTGATGGAAATTAAGCGTGGAAATATGCTCAAGAAAAAAGAAAGTGGTCAGTACCACCAGGTTACAGAGATTGTTTAAGACACTAGCTTAAAAACAACCAGCAGATACAAAATTAAGACATCAAGGGTGAACAAATTTGCAGTACTGTCCACTTATTCTACTTTAGGGGAGGAAAGCTGGCAAACAGCCAATGGATTACACAAAATCGTGTTAGGAGTACAACGTTGGAGGGGCCAGAGAACGGATATCAAAAAATGGATGCAATAACGTTTGCATTCTGAGAGTAAGCACAACCAATAAAGGGAGAGCAAGAAAGACCAAGCCTCTTCTAAGAAGGAACAAGTGAAATGGATTCCACAATGACTTACCATTTTCTAATGAAATATTTTGGGAGGAAAAGAAACCTGGCCTGGATCCCAAGGATACAAAAGTGTACCAAGTGGGGCGCCCACCTAGAGCATACAACAGAATCCTTACTAGTGCCTGTATTAGAAAAAACTAGTATTCCAGAATATTATTTGTTTTAATAAATTAACATATCTTTTTAAAACCAATCCAAATCAATTGTATTTTCTCTGGACTTATGTAGCAGCCTAACTGGTATCCCACATCTTTTTTGATTCTCTATTTTTTAATGTACCTGGTACAGGGTCTCACCATGCAGCTTGGACTCATAGCGATCTTCCAGCCTCAGCCTCCCCAGCCCTGGGATTACAGGTGTGTGCCACCACGCCCCGCCTCCATGGCTGGCTCAGCAAGCTCAGCAATGGAGCCAGAGCGGCATGTGGTGGCAGGGTTCGAACCCCAGTCCCTGCGCTCGCCTAGGCCGGCGCTTACGCTGAGCTATCCCGCTGGCCCTCTCACATCTATTCCTGCCACCTTCCGATCAGTTTCCACACAGAAACAAGGATCTTTCAAAATGATACTTTTATCACTGTCACCCTACTTAAAATACTAATTCCAATTTTCTTAAATAAACATAAAAACCCGTAAGACAGTCTACAGAGCTCTACAGGACCTTCCCTGGTCAGTGTCCTCATTGCTGTCCTGCATGGAGACCTTTCACGCATGCTGCGGCCTTGCTAGAGCTGGCTCCACCCAGTTAATTCAGCCCTTTCTCAAGCAAGCTGCCCTGACCTCCTGGAAGTCTTGCTTCAAATTCAGTAGCCCTTGGGGAGATAGCTCGGTAGAATAAGTGCCTGCCTGGTAAGTGCAGGGTCCTGAGTTCAATACCCAGTACCGGGGGAGGGTGGGGGGGGGAGACAAGACTGTCCTGAGTGTGACAATTGAAGTAAAGATTATTAAAAAAAAAAAAAAATTCAGCAGCCCAGCATGCCTGTGTTCCTTTTGCAGAGCCTATCATGGCTAGTTTTATATTCACTTTAACAATATTAATAGCCATCTCTCCCCTTCTATCAACTCTACATGCCATGGGAATAATGGGGTTCCTTCTGCTTTGCTGAGACGTGTGTGTCGAGGGTCACACACAGTGCCTGCCAGGAGGATCAGATGAGTGAAGAAAGGAAAGACAGTGCATCAGCTCTACTCTTAGGACCTAAACAAGAGAAGCTGCCAAACTTCAGCATGCAAGTTAAGTAAAATTAACTAACTAGCTTTAACTGGAGCTAATTAAATGTTTTCAGTCTAGTGAACACTAGTTGGAATTCTGCTGTCATCAATTCCATGAAAATATGCAAACAAAAGCAAAATCTTCTCATTTATTTCTGTGAGCTAGCTAAGTGTTTCTTAAATCTATTAGCTCTAAATATTGTATTTTTGTATCTATATAGAAGTCATATCAAATATATATACAAAATACATAACTTTTCCAGATCTCTTCAAGTCAGTTTTTGGTCATGGAAAGGTAGTATCACAAAAACAGCTGAGAAGAGGCACTAATCATATCATGTATTTAACAAACACTCCAAACAGAATCAGTAATGAATTGTCTTAATCATCTGTCACTTACATATATATTTCTTCAAGGCTGTTGGATATATTCACACGTTCTTGCCCTCTAAGCCATGGGGCACTAAGATTGAATAAAACACAATAAAGATCGTCAAGGGTTGTGTTTACAATTGAAACATAATTTACTGATTAACTGATGAATTAGTTTTAATGAACTTTGTTTTGTTTTGAGACAAAGTCTCACTGTGCAGCTTAGGCTGGCCTTGCATTCACTCTGGAGCCCAAGCTGGCCTTGAACTTCCCAAGGAGCCTCTGCCCCCGCCTCCTGAGTGCTGGGATTGCAGACCTGTGTCACCAGACCCCACCAGCGTTAACTTTTCAAAAGTATTTATTTTCATTAAAGTGTTGTCTTCTATTTGTATAAGCCTATACAGATCCAAAATACTGTCTCTAGCATTAATTTCCTCCTCCTCAAAAAGCATGACAAAATCAATACCAGTATTGTTCAGTTTTAATGGTTTAAAAAACATAAATGACTCCAAAGGGTATCATAAACCCACCCAAGTTCATATATATGGAATAGACGTTGGAATCTAAATTTCCACGCTCACAATATTTGCCACAAGTTCCCAATGTTTTTCTGACTTAGATCTTTAGAACAATTCTAACTGCCATGATGGCATAGCAAAAAACAAACAAACAATAAATCAGTAAAGATATTTATCTTATAAATGTTCTATATTTGTCATTTGCAGCCTGGGGAGATAGGTCAGTGGTCTAAGCACCCGCCTGGCCAGCACAAGGACCCCGGGTTCAATCCCTGGTACTGCATGCCATGCTGGCCCAGGAACCTTGGGTGCCACGCCAGCCACCGAAACTGGGCATGGTGGTGCACACCTGTAATCCCAGTGCTGGGAAGGCTGAGGCAGGAGGATCACTATGAGTCCAAGCTGCATAGTGAGACCCTGTACCAAATAAATAAATAATTTTTTAAAAATTTATTATTTGCAATAAAGGAAAATAAAAATTCACAGAACCATTTTTATTAGCAATTTTTATGGTTATGGTTTTTAAATGATCTCTCAAAAATAATACTGTTAATAGGTAAATATGTTGAGTAAGACTTTTTATGGAAACTTGTTCATACAGTGCATACGCTCTACTCGCACAGGTCAAAAGGGCAAGGCAGGTCACATGCCACTTGCATCATCAGGTCATTACCCATAAAGATTAACCTGGACTTCTTAAGAAAATGGCTCTTCAGTAACAAGGGAAAAAGGGGAAGGAAACCACCAGGTTTTGAGGAAGAAAGGGTGAAGCTGAAGTTCACCACGGAAGTGAGGTTTGGTCAGTAGGAGCAGGGCAGGAGAAACGCTCAGGGGCAGGGTTTCCAAATCACTGGGCAGGAGACGGGAAGGTTTTCTTCCCGTCTCTAAAGACAACTGTACAGCTCTTTTAATCCCTTCAAACTCCATGATCCTCTTTTATACAAGTAGTATATTTTAAGTAAGTATATCTTAAGTAGTATATTTTAGTTTTCATATCATTTTTATTTAAAAGCTTTGTATCAAATTGAAAAGGTGTTTTTAATTTGTTTACATCTTATTTATTTATTTATTGGTCTTTTTGAGACAGGGTTTCACTCTACAGTTCAAGCTGGCCTTGATCTCACTGTGTAGCCCAGGATGGTCTCAGCCTCACAACAATCCTTCTGCCTCAACCTCCCCAGTGCTGGGATTTTTTTTTTTTTTTTTTGCTCCGAATGGCTTCAGAGCAGGTTTGGCTGGCTTGAGTTGTGGGGATCGAACCACAGCAACCTGAGCCTGACTGCTTTGTTGAAGCAGCCACTTAAAGAACTGAGCTAAGGAGCAGCACCCCCCCCCCCAGTGCTGGGGTTACAGGCATGTGCCCCGGCTTAATTTCTATACATTGTAATAAGTGTTTTATACAAGCACAATGCACAGTACAGAAAAATACCTTTGAAAGTATAATCTTTGCATAAAAATACAAATGCAAGAAAATAGCTTACTTCAATTGATAAATAGGAGGAGCCGTGGCTGGGTACTCATTCGGCAGCACCACCTACAAAAACGAAACTGTTTACATCTTATCATAGTTCAGAAGTAACTGTATCTGTAAAGCTAATACTGAACAGATTTCCAGCTTGACATCCCATTGTTTTGTTACATCTTGAGAATCGCCTACTTGTATTCCTGCTTCTAAACTAGATATGTTGTTAGTGATATTGCCAAGATTGTAAAGAAAAACTATTTGCAGACAAAGTATAAAAGCAATGAAAATTAGAACAAAAAAGGGTAAAGAGGCCAGAGATGAAAAGAAAAGGAAAGCTGAAGCAGGGGGATTATGCCCAAACTCTAATGGGCAGGGGCATTACAATATTTTCTAGGTGTTTTTTGAAGAAATACTAATACTATGAATCTATTAAATATGGTATATAAAAATAACACATTTAAACGAACAAGAGATATTTCTTCTCAAATCAATGTTAAAGAAACGATACTGAAAAAAATTCATCTCAGTATTACTTATGTTGGAAGTACAGGCAGTAATCAAAGAATAAGCACGAATAAGGGGGGGAGAGGAAATAAGCAGAATAAAGATTCGCCATGTATAGGAACCTAACGTCCTCGATGATGGTAAACATTATAAGCCATAACACAAGCTAAGATTAGTGATATCAATAAGAATGAAAGTCAACAAGAATGAAAATCGAAGTGGGGAATTAGAGGAGGAAGGAGGGGCAGGGGGAGGGGCAGGGGATTACACAAGAAGCCATAGCAAGCACCTGGACCCCAGCCCCAAGACAACTGCCAACTGCACGTACTGCACACGCATACTAACAAATTCTTCAAAGAGAAAAGATGAGCACTAGGGCAGAAAGCCAAATTTATTTTATCCTAACTACAGTTGTTCTCAAAAAATGAGCATCTACTCTACACATTCTCCACACTGTTAACCTATTGCTCCTCATAAAAGTGAATCATCTCTCCCTTTGGACCCTCTCCTATTAGCCAGATGCAAAAATGAAAGGAAGTCCCATTCCAGTCTGTCAAAGTTATACAGGACTTTTAATAATTAAAAGAACAGGACAAGAAATATTGAAATAATAAAAGTATGAGTTCAGAGTGATCTGAGATTTAACCACTGGTGTTTAGAAAGTGAACCATGACAAAAGCCAAAACCAAATTTTGAAAATACTGCAATTCACGCAAAAATAACCACAAGAATAGTGGCCAATCATATAATCAATATGGTAATTTGAAAATGACTGTAGAGAAGCAGAAAAAAAAAAAAAGAAAGAAAGAAAAGAAAATACCTGCAAGCAAATTGTCCATTTGGGATGATCTTTATCGTCGTCGATTCTAATACAAAATACTCTGGCAGCGGCATCGACGACACACCACTCGTTCTCATAAATGGCTGACAATGCTTCGATTTCATCATTCTGAAAGGTGATTTTAAAAGTCAACCAACGTACAAGCCCTGGAAACCTAATCTTACGGGTCGCCACCACGTTCTGCTTCCTCAGCGTTCTCCCGAGCGGGGCCATCCTTAGCATCGCTGCAGCGCGGCTCCTTCTGCACCAAAACGCACGTCACTTGCACGTCCTGCAGTGAGGTTCTCAGGATAAGCACACCTCCTCTAACTGGTAATCCCCCAACCTCTGACAGCCTTGCCACCGTCCCTGTATTCCTGCTGAGCATCTACCTTATTTCCGTTCCTGACTTCTGTGGTTTTTTTTGTAATTTGGGCCGAGCGGATAGGTTTTCCTGTCTTTTTGGTCATCGGGCCTCAAGACAGTTCACAAATTATTCTCTAGGTTGGGGACTAAAAAGGAAAAAGCACTTGCTCCTAACGGTAAAAATATGGAGACCCTATACACTGCATTCAACACACGTGGCCCTCGAGTCCCGGAGGCCGCGCCCCAGGAGTGCCCACGTGCACCAAGCGCGGCGACGACTGCGACACTGGGGCGCGCAGGGGCTCGGGTCTGTGTCACTGAGGGTTCTTTCGCAAAGGTGCACGCGGGTTCTTGAGCGTCCAGTGACGGTGACGCTCCGGAGCGCGGGGCGGAACCGAGCTTCAGCCGCCGGCCGGGAGCGGCTGGGCGGATGGCCGAGGGCCGGCGGGTCACCGTCCCGAGCAGGCGGGCGGGACGCCGGGACGCGAGCAGCGCGGGGCAGGCGCGGC